TCCACAAAACAAACAAACAAAAAAGCCACTTCACTCAAATGAAGTGATCTTTTATGCATAGTATGTGCACACTTGAATCTCATTTATTCTGGTTGCTTGTCCTACGTTTTTATCTAAGTTTGCCAAGTATTCTTCCTATTTATTTTCTTGGAAGTTTCTCCAGCATAATTAAAGAAATTATTGACAACTGCTAAAGCATCTATTAGCACATGGGTCCGTGGTTGGTGTCATGGTCAAGATTTTGGGATGTTTGATAATGGGATGATCTACACAGCACCAAGCTTGCTGGCATCAGATGGGATTCATCTTTCTCTAGAAAAGAAGAGGGTCTTTGGGTTAATTGGGCTCAAGGACAGAGCTTCCCCCTCTTATGATAAAGGGAGGCAATAAGATCAGGCTCGCCTGTGATAAGCTGTGGAATGACATGCCAAGGTTAGATGGGCATGATGCTTGCTCTGCGCAAGAGAAGTTGCCCTCTAAATCAGAGATGGATTGAGTGTGAAGAACTCTTTCCGAAAAACAGCCACAAGCAGGTTGAAAGCTTATGGGTAAGAATCAAACACCAAGGCAGCAAAGGGAATATTGTGGTTGGTGTCTGCTACAAGCTGTCCAGTCAAGGGGAAGCTATTAATGAGCCCTTGTTGCTCCAGCTACAGAAGGCATTACACTCACAGGCTCTTGTCCTGCTGGGGGAGTTCAGCCACTCCAGTATCTGCCGGAAAAGTAGTACAGTGAGCTGTGGACAATCCTGGAGATTCAGTAATGCATAACTTCTTGAGCTGGGTAATAGACAGCCCTACCAGAGGGGAGGCAATACTGATGGTCACCAATGCAAGCAACCTAGTAGGAACATCAAGATTCGAGTGGGATAAAGTGCAGCCTGGGGTTAAGTAATCATGCACTGGGGAAGTTTGCAGTCCTGAGGAATACAGGTCAGGCAAAGAGTAAAGACCAGACCCTGAATTTTTAGGAAATCAAACTTCAAGGAGTTCGTCAGTAGGAGTCTCTGGGAAACTGCCCTAGGGGATAGGATGGGAGTTGAACAGAGCAGAACAGAGTTGTCAGATCTTTAAAGACTCTTTCCACAGAGTGCAAGAGCTCTCCATCCCCGCACCTGAGAAATCAGGCACAGAAGTCAAGACTGGCATGGCTGAGTGAGGACCTGCTGGTCAAAGTAAAGGGCAAAAAGCAAATGCACAGACAGTGGAAGCAGGTACAGGTACCCTGGAAAGAGCATAGGGATAGTGCATGGTTGTGTAGGGATAGGGGCTGGAACTTTGCAAAGGATACAAAGACTAACAAGAAGGGCAGCTACTGGTATGTCAGTCAGAAAGGGAAGGTCAAAGAAAATGTTTTTTATAAAAGTATGGGTTGTATTTCAATTGCACCAGGAGTGTGGTAGACTTTTTCTCAATGTAGTGACAATACCTTGATCTTCTAACATTGCTGGCTAAAAAGTATCCTTCATAATGCCTTTTATAGCTTTCCTTCAATAAGAGATTTCATTACTAAGTTTGGTTTAGGAGGTATTTTCAGTGCTTTCATCACATTTAGTGGCTGGTCTTAGAGGAAGAGGATTTCTTTTTTTATGTTTGTTTTTAATTTCTTTGAAGACCATTGCGTATTTCATTTCTCACAAAATATATTAAAACTTAGGAGAACTGACAGAAGTTATGCCTTGTAGCAAGAAACACCTATTTGAGAAAGAATGAGAACAATTTAATTCTGATGAAGAACATAGAAGAATATTTCATTATACAGTGGATTAATTTAGCTAAATATAGAAATCTCAGGATCAAAAAAGTCATGACAAGTTATTCTTTGAAAAGTTTTATCTAGAATAGATAATATTTGTAGCAACTTGAATAATTGTACTCTTCAATGAAAGTCAAATGGAAAATGCTGTTTAAATTCTGAAAGGAATTAAATAGACATATAAGGTTTTACATGGAATTTGAGGGAAACATGGTGACTTTTTTCCATTATCAGACCTTTAAATACTTGTCAGGATTCTGTGTTGCTGTGTGCTTAGGACTTCTTATAAATATTGCCATTATATAATGCTGCATGGGCCTATGTTAGTATGTTCAAAAGTACAACGTAAAATCAGTGAAGAAAATGCTTTTTTTCCCATGGAAAGTTATGCATAAATAGTAAATATCTGGGTTTTTTAATTCTTTCTCCATCTGACTAAAGTATAACCAATATAGCCAATGACAATCTCGATTCCTGGATTGAGTATCACTGGAATAAAAATGCAGAACAAAAACATTTATACCAAAACTGGAAACAGATCTGTGCATATCAACTGTATTTCTGTTACAGCAGATACTGCCACATGGGTTTAGGGGATCTGTATGCCATTCTGTTCTGTGTTTTCTTAAGTGTAAAGTCATCTGCAAATATAAAACCCTTTCCACCTATACTCTGCCCATTACTTTGAATTAATGAAATCAAAGGGGATAATAAAGCATTTTAGTTTTCATGGCTGCTAAATCAGATTTTTTTTTAAGTTCACAGCCATTAGGAAAATTTCCTATTCTGCCCTATTTCTTTATTAAATTGTAGAAGGAGATGTTTTTACAGGAGTAAAATATACCATGTTCAATTGAAAATGCAGAGCTCTGTCATCCAAAAAAATACATCTAGGACCTTTTATACTGTGTAATGCTGGCTGCGCATTCTACATTCTTGCAATGTATTTATTTATTTTATTCCAAAGAAGCAGTCACTGCCCATGTACTAGCAGATATAAATAAGTGATGGAAAACCTGGGGCAATATATAGGTTGCAATATAAACAGCTTTACACAGAGGGGAAGTAAATGTGGTTAGATATGATTAAACTACATATAACCAAGACTTTGTATGTTTTTGGTAAAAATTTTAATTGCAAAAGAAATGCAAATTATGTGAACTGCACTTCCCCAATATGTAGTCTTAATAATCCTCTAAACCTTCCAATCCAGTAAGTATAATAATTAATTTGCTTTCTCCATATGTGCTTTTGTTTCTCAGGAAACTAAGGAAGTAGGTTGACCATGAATTAAATAGGCAGTGGTACTCAAAAACCAGGAGAAGCATCTTCCAGATAGAAGGAAAAAAAACAACAAAAGTCAGTTTTTCTGGTTGGTCCTCCAATACAAGATGGAAATCCATAAGTTAGTGTATTCTATGCTTGAGTATCAAAAACACAGTCTTTTTTAATGGAAGGTAGCATGACTGTTTATTTCTTTAAAATAAAGAAACACTCTGTTAACTTTATTTAACCCAGCATTGTCATCTTTGGCTAATCCAAGTTGAACAGTTTACTTCCTACTCAAGTTTCCACAGAAGTCTAAAACCCAGGAAATGCAAGAGATAATCATATATGTGCCAAAAATGTAGATAGTCTGTTATTTTGTAGGTAGTTGAGATGGAAGAAATATATGTATGCATGTAAATACATTTATTGACGAATAATGATACATAATCTGTGAAATAGTGATACATAACTTCACACTTCATAAGTGAAAATCTTCATGGGTACTACAAGCATCTTTCTTATATCATCAAGTGTAAGATCTCAGCACTGATCTGAGATGATGGTAGTAATTAGGAACCGGGTCACTAGGTCTCCCTGTCAATTTTACTGTACTGTCATTCCGTAATAGTCAAAAAGGGTGGATGGGTTATGTTTTATACAGAGTGCAGATTCATATGTAATGTCTGGAGACACATGTAACTATCAGTAGAAGATGGAATTAAATAAATTAATCTGATTAAATATGGTATACATGAAAAGTCTCTCCTAGTTACTGTATGTATTATTAAACTGCCATTCCAGCAGCTGGCAAAGCTTGGTACTCAGATACTTGGAAATAATCAATGCACATACTCTTGGAAACAATCAACTGCATTTAGGAACAATATTGATAACTAAAATGCCATTTGCTATTTTTATTTGGGTTTCTTCTATTTATATTGTAACTTAACTACTATCTTAATTAGTTTTAACTTAGTTCAATTGGAAGTAGTAAAACCTACTTACCTAATAAGTGACACATGTCATAGAGACACATACAACCTCCTTATTTCCTCTAGGTCAGTCATGCATGAACTAATGAACTGAAGTTTTGTTTCTCTACATATTTTAAGAAAACGAATGCAATTTAATTTGTCCTTTTCCCCCCTCCCCAAATCAAAACACAGATGCAAGCTTTTTCTTTTTTCCCTAACTGCATTCTTAACTGTTAAAATATCCTAAAGCACTTGATCACGTTGCATTTTAATTTCCAAATCATGTGTTGTATTAGTGAAGTGCACATGTTCCTGATTTCAGCTGAAAGTTCTCAGTCTGTTTAGCAGAACACCAGGCTGGCATGAACAAGGTCCTTGCTAGGTCAAAGGCCTGAAGTTTACATCTTTCTTAAATCTGACTTTTGTAAAAACGTAAGAAGCGCGGGTCAGGGCAACTAGCTGATGGCATTGCCTCTTACAGCCGCTGATTAGATTAGCCCAACATTTATCAACTACACAGGGACTAACACTTAACCTTTTACTGAAGAATTTTGATGTATCCTTATTTTTTAATGAGGATGTTATTGTCCCAAAGTGTTCCTTAAAGCTTTAGTGCAGATTTTTTCTCCCATTTAACTGACTAACAGGCTTTAAATGCTTTATAATTCAAAGTGTCATGTTTATAATTGTGCTTTGTTTTGAGGGTAGAGGTTGAGTAATTTTGCCCTGGAACAATGTTTTTCTAACTATTATTATTTTATCTGTTCAGTTCTAAGATTTTGCTTGTATGTGTTCTATTTACCTAAATTCCAAAATGTAATTTATAGTTAGCTTGAATGCTAGTTGTTTTTTTAATCAAAATCATTAACTGAGAAATATTTACAATAAGATTTCTTTTTAGAAAATATGCAGTAACTTACTACTATGGGTTTACCTATTATCTGTTAATCATATTGGACTGTAATCACCTGAGTTTTGAAAACTAATTCACATCTTTGCCAGGAGAAAAGTTGCCTGTGATTCCACATCTTGCAGTCCTGGATTCAAGGTTTTCCTTCCACTGGGAATTGGAATTCGGGGCCTGTAAGTGACATATTTTGTCAGTTACAAGTGTGATCATCTCACCAGAAAGCTGAGCTAATCCCAAATTTGCAGTTTGATTGGAATAGTTACAGCTCTTGCTGTGAGAAAGCGGCAGGCAGGTAACAAAGTACCGTGATCATGGTAAATGCAGGATTATGCAATTTCTGCGTAGGCAACAAGATCTCAGTGCCATACTGGGATGAGCTACAGGCAGCTGGGGACTGTAGTCACTATGGATCTGCGCTGGGATCATCCAAGTCCCAGGATTGGCCAAAACAGATTACAGCAGTGCAAAACTGTGATCTAACACTTGGGGTATCAATAACCTAGATATAAAAAAACTGAAATAACATTATGAGTGTTCTGTAGTAGAGTATTTAGATATAGTATAATGTCTACAAGGAGAAGTAAAAGCAGTAGGTCACAAAAAGTTTTTCCATACTGCTTTTACCTTGGCATGTTTCTATTAAATAGTAGCATTAACTAACTTTTGCCTGCTATGGTTTAGTTTTGTAAATCCTGAGAAGTTATTGAGCAGCTGGAACATAAAACCTATTACTGGCCTTTGTCTCCATGCATGCTACTTTGTGTTGCAGACATCAAGTGAACACAGATTGCCACAGGACTCCACATCAAGAGTACAAGTTAGGTATGAGGGACTTGATTAGCACATGGAGTGTGTGACCACATTTCTCTACCATGCACTAAAGTGCACTGATAATAATGAGGACCATCAGCAGGCTAGAATAATATCTGCTGTTTCTCCTACTTAAAATGTATAAAAGCTCCAATCTGAACAATTACTTTCTCTCATTGCTCTCTAAGTATGTGGAATGAGAATTTCTACAGAGGCCAAATTTCATAAAAGGTGGTTGTAGGGCATAGGTCTTTTTCATTACTAGCAACATTATTGTCTCCTTCCTATGTTAATGTGATGTCAGTAAAGAAATGCTCAGACTCATGAAATTAAGACTCAGACTCATGAAAACTAGAAAATATACTGTTTGAACACTGTTGTTTCCTGGAAAGAAAAAAAGAAGTGGGGAGGTAGGGAGAAATTCTTGTTTATGTGCTCCTGATTTCTTAAAACCAGCTTTGAGAAGTAGCAGTATTTTCAGTCTGGTCTTCACTTGCCCATAGTCTGTGTACTTCAGCTCCATGCCCTAGCTCTAGCCTGGGTATTTCATAGCAGTAGACTACCATATCCATATCTGTGTAAGCAAATTGTTCTTGTTATGGCCCCACTAGTAAAATCACTTATCTTAGAACAGTATTCCAAGCAGTATCTAGGGATGGAAAAGTAGCCTGACAGCAGTAATGGCACAAATCAAGACACAACTTAATACCAAACATAAAAGTTCCATTAATCTGGAAGAGAAACAGCAGAAGAAAGACTTGCTTTTTTTTATTACTGAGTCTCATGTTATCTAGTCATATGTCAAAAATTTATTTTCCTGCTTAAATTAACCCTTTGATATAGCCAGATGACTTCAAAATAGAATTATTTTGAATCAGTTGAGTTACTCAAAGCAAATGTTTCCTGAAAACATTGTTTCCTAAAATTAATTAGATGCTTTGTAGATATTTAATCTTAGCACTTATTTCAGTCTCGCTGTACATTACAAAGTTAATTTGAATTTAATTTATTATAATTGAAAGTGGTTATTTTATTGTTAGCAAGTAAAATGCAGAACAGACAAAATGTTTAGGTTTAGTCACATTGTGGTTACTGGAAATTAATATACTGCATTTTAAATAAATTGATGTAGTTTGAAATTTCCCAGATCCTGGAAATTAATAATCCTGTTTTATGAAAAATGCATCCAGTATGATGAAACCTGAGTATAAAAAAAGATGGATGTATTCTTTAGCGCAGAAAAAATGGTGGATCTTTGCTGTTGGAACTGGAACTATCCAGTGTAGTTTCAAAACACAAATGTAATGGTAAAATGGTTTAAAAAAAAAAAAAGTAATTGGCTTCTATAAGCTAATACTGCTGGGGGTGAAAGGTCGAGAGAGGAAGCCATGTGAGGAGCAGCTGGGATGGCTTGGTCTGTTCAGCCTGGAGAAGAGGAGACTGAGGGGAGACCTCAGTGCAGCTACAACTTCCTTGTGAGGGGAGGAGGAGGAGGAGGGGCAGGCACTGATCTCTTCTCTGTGGAGCCCAGTGACAGAACCTGAGGGAATCTGAAGCTGTGTCAGGGCAGGTTTAGGTTGGATATCAGGAAAAGATTCTTCACCCAGAGGGAAGTTGGGCACTGGAACAGGCTGCCCACGGAAGGGGTCACAGCACCAGCTTGACACAGCTCAAGAAGCATTTGGACAATTTCATGTACATGGTCTGGTCATTGTTAAAATTATGTAGAAGAAGATGTAGAAATGATGTATATGATGTAGAAGATACTAAACAATCTTATACTTTCCTTCTTAAAGCAGCTAAAGTATTATCTTCTAAATTAGGCACTTTGTGTGATCAGGCACTATCAGTAGAAGAGAAACAAGTGCAGTCTGCAGTACATCTTGTTGTGTTCATCCTAATGTAACCAAGAGCAAATGGGCTAAATATGAGCAAATACATTGGTTTTCTCAAGGTACTTCAGTGGTTAAACAACTGGGAGAAAGTTCTTTAAGCTTAAAGAGAGTTATAGCAGACAAAATGTTTAAAATAATTGATTGAATCAGTCTAACAAATGAAAACTTTTGGCCAGGCAAGTAATAAACTTTTAAATTTCCAGTTTTCAAAATTTATTAGTGAGAGTAAAAAACTATTTTGCAATGAACTTCAGTCACTGTAGCAAAAGTGAAGAGTGGTTGATTTTTTGCCAAGTTATAAATGTATTACAAAAATACCCATTTTAACAGTGCTTTCTGTATTTTTTTTATTCCTAAAAGTCAGTCATTCAGAAAATGTACAACTTTCTTTTTACACAATTCAGTGTCTTGCCAAAGTCAGTTTGTTCTGTAATAAAAGTTGTACTACAACATTCATATTGATTCTGCATGTATGGAATCAACTGCTAGATTGAAAGTAAGTTGTATGATCTTTTCAGTTTACAAAACAAATAAAAAAGTAGCCCAGATCAAATATTCACATTTATTTTATATATAGTATTGAACACCTAATGAAGCTAATTCTAAAAAGAAAGTATTCGCCCTCATGGAATTCAGGTAAATCTCATGAAACTGTAATGAAAAGCAGTCAAACATTGCTCTGGAAAATTACTCCTATTTATCATATGCTTTTCCTTAATCAATTTAATAAATTTACACTTTAAATTTAGTGGAAGGGGTGTGCAGGAGTGGAAGAACAAACTGTATTTCTTTTAACAGGGATTGTTCAGAAGGTAAAATGTTTGGATTGGAAAGCAGGGATGGTGCACAGATTTGGTTGTAGTATTACTCAAGTCTCACTGTGTTTACCTTGTCATGAGGAAAATCAAAATTTAGCCAAGATTGCTTTAGTATAGAGCATCCCATCATAAGCATATCCTTTTCTACCTACATATACATTTATTCATGTGTATGTATGCATGTCTATAACGGTTCCTGTTTTTTATGTTACCACAGTAATATATAAATCATCAGGTTAGTGCTATTCTGACTTTATTTCCTGGGAATCTTTTAATATATAATTTATAAACAACTTTTAAGTTAAAATATAGGATAGAGAGCTGGAAAATAAGTATTGAGTTGAAGTTCTCTGTCTGAAAATGTTTCATTTGTTATTAAGCTTACCTCCAATTTGGTAGTGTTGTGCAGTGGGCAATTTAATGACTTGTCATTTTTCTACCTTTTAAATTTGGGTTGTTTTAATATATGGATCAGTCTTGCACTTTTTGAAGTCTAAAAGTGGATAACATTGTTCGTGGAGCTCAGACTTGCTGCTAATTTTTTGGTGTGTTTTAACATATCCTGCCAGCTGAGCCATTAAAGCTCAGCCATTAAAGCAGAACACTCAGAAGATATATGCATGCTTGAGTGTATTAACAAAGACAAGCAAGTACTAAAATCTGAAAAGCTTCATCAGACTGCAGTGGAGATATGTTCATTTCTGCCAAACCTTCCTTTTGGTTACTGGATGTCAAAATGACCTGTTTCTTTGATTTCTTATAGTACTTTTCTTTCTTTTATTTAAAAATAATCTTTGTCACTCCAGAAAATTTGTTGAGGAATTTTTTTTTTGTGGCTGTTGGGGGCAGTTTTGGACAGAGAACAAAGTTTTCCTAAGTTTCAACATTCCTGCTATAAAAGTCAAAGTGAAATGTCTACTTCAGTCCAGCTGAGAATATATCAATTATTTGGGTGAACTTGAAATGTTTTCTTTCCTGTAATTTTTAATAAAGCAACAACTGCAGTCCTACAATGCTGTGTATTTAATGTGGATAGCTGTTGTGGCTCTAGAGAATCATATCTCCTCCTCCGCTCTTTTTTAGTACTTCACTGGAGTTAAAGGAGACTAACCACATGCCAACATGTTAAAAGAAAGGGGAGGGGGATCAGGGGGAATGCTATTTAGTGCTGAAATATGTTTCAGCAAACTGAACTGAAAAATGTCTTCAAAAATTTCTTCATTTTGGCCAAAATGACTAAATTTTAATGTTGCTTAATCAAAACATGTTTGAGCTCTTTGTTGGGGTTAACTTCTGCATTAAAACTCTTCATTTTGAGTCTGGTGTCAAATTGAATGTTATGGGGTGAGTTTCTAAATTTTGCTCAGCCAGGTAGTGGGTGGTACAGCTCATTTCTGCATTGCTTCTCTGATATCTTTACAGTAGGGAATAACAACTGGAAAAGTAACTCCCTGGGACCAAGCTGAGTTTTGAGAACATTGCAACAGGGCTTTGTTAGAAGTACTGTTTATTAAAGATCCACCTAAGATCACCAAGTCACTGTTAACAATAATTTTAAAGAGGCATCTAATGTCATCCCTGACTTCTCAGGCAGAAAGACCAATAATCCTCAGGTGTGATTAGCAGCTGGTAATTGCAAATTTTTTTAGC